GAGAAGAAGGATGCAGGGAATGGGGGTGGGGGCTTAAGGGAGGGAGAAGAAGTGGTGGAGCATGTGTGGGGCCTTGGAGAAGGAACTGGAGTAGGGTCAGGTTAGAACTGGTGCCGGAGGGAGATTCTTGCACTTGGGCTAGCATGTGCCACCCATGCCTTACCTGCTAGGGAATAGAACCAGTCTTACTCCCTTTCTCTGACTCAGTAGCTGTGTCTACACTGCACCCCTTTTCCGGAAAAGGGATGCTAATGTAGAACGTCGGAATAGCAAAATCCATGGGGGATTTAAATATCCCCCGCGGCATTTGCATTAACATGGCTGCCACTTTTTTCCGGCTTGGGGAAAAGCCGGAGAAAAGCGCCAGTCTAGACGTGATTCTCCGGAAAATAAAGCCTTTTCCGGAGGATCTCTTATTCCTACTTGAAAGTAGAAATAACAGATCCTCCGGAAAAGGCTTTATTTTCTGGAGAATCACGTCTAGACTGGCGCTTTTCTCCGGCTTATCTCCAAGCCGGAAAAAAGCGGCAGCCATGTTAATGCAAATGCCGCGGGGGATATTTAAATCCCCTGCGGATTTGCCTATTCCAAAGTCTACATTAGCATCCCTTTTCCGGAAGGGATGCCAGTGTAGACACAGCCATCGAGTGTTCATTGTCATTCAAGTGGCAATTCCTATTTATACCTAAGGGATCTCCCATATACCCTGATTACAGTGTTAACTGTTCTTGTATAAGGGAGCTGGTCCTCCACACTTTCAAGCATTTTGAGAGTCTTTATCCTTTGACTGAACTCTAAACAAAATAATTTCAAATTGGGTTGAAATGAAATGTTTTATTTCAACGTTTCTGAAACGTTGAGATTTTCTGAGTTTGGTTTAAACTATTAAACTTAACATAAACTCGCTAATTTGTGTGGGTTGATGAACTGCATTTTTTACGAAATTTGCCCGCTCTACCTATGAGTATGGGGTTAAATTATTGCAATTTCCTCATGTAGGGATGTGTTTCTGTGTATCTTTTCCTCTTCTCACTTTTATCTTAGTAAAGACCTTTGAGGGTGGGAAATGGGTTTTTCTGGTCTCATTTCCATAAAATGAGAAATGGCTGATGTTTAAATACATCAAAACCATTTTTTTTAAAATGACTGATGTGTGACTAAGTGTACATTACAGTCACTTTCCATTAAAAAAACACCTCTTGGACATAATCCATAATATAATCAGGATAGGCAAAATGTACAAAATATCAAAACAATGATACACCTACCATCTACCAAAAGGTACTAGATCAGCCACAATATAGTAAATACATTCAATAATAAAATGAACTCAATATGCTTTCAATTCCTTTCCCTTTATTTCTTTGTAGACACCACTCTCAATGAACCATCCATAAATTAGAGGCCTGAGAGAAATTTACTTAATCTATTTTGGGACAGTGTGCTGCACTGTCTGTTCTCCCCTCCCCCAGTTAAGATAACTAGGCATTATAAAATGTAAAAGGAAATACAAATGACTAGCTTCAGCAATTAATAGCAACTTTAAAGTAAAAATTTTCCGTTAGTTGCTGACCTGAAATAAAACACTTTTTTGTTTTATAACAAGGCAGTTAAAAAGCTAAATAAGGCACGTAAGTTTTAGTGGTCTGAAGTACATACTTATTCATTTCTTTAGTTCTGATGCACAATACTGCAAAGCATATGATGTAATTTAAAGAACCCTTAGGAAAATTTGTGCTCTGCTTAGATTGTCATGATTTGATATACTGGTGATTTTGAGTTTTCATAAATGGACCACAATAAAGAAACTACAAATTTATTCTACTGAAACATTCCCTCCCATAACCTCTTTTCAGGTCATCCACTGAAATTATGAAAAGAAAATACAAAGAAATGGCAGAACTGTTGGGAAAATCAATTACTTAGAAAATGTAAAATGGAATTCTCAAGGGACTCTTAAGCACGAGTGGTATCATAGAAAATTCTTGTATATCTAGTATTACAGTATAAAAAAGCATTAGTCTTAAACACCATTTACACACAAGAGATTAAGCATGATAGCCAGGCCACAAGCTGTAGACATAACTGGCTAAAATTAGGTGTACTGTTTGAACAAAGCTGAGTAAAAAGCTGAAAAACAATTAGATTTGTTTTTAATAAAAAAAATAAATATTACAAACCCACTTTTCCATTAAGGCAGCAAATTTTAAATACCAGCCAGAAAAACTATATTATTTGTAATCTTAGGGCTTTGATGGTTAAAAGTTTAAAATTAAATTCACAATTAATCTTTGCATTCTCTCTTTAACTTACCATTCTGCGTTTGTAATTTTGGGATCTTTGAATATTGAAAGTTATTATGTAGTACAGAAATATTGTTATTACAGTTACTATTTGGTGAAAATTAACAGGAAATTCTATCAACATACATTTGTAAAAACACAAAACATTTATATTTTGCCTTTATTTTGAAGAAAAAAAACTTTAGTTTCTCTCTTCATTTCACATAATATATCTATCAAGCAGATAGACTGTGAGGCTGATGGCTGAAGAAAATTTTTTAAGTTTAAATTAATTTTTATTTCAGTGAAGGAGCTTGCTCCCACGATATAGAACATTAATCAGACTAGTTCTATTCCATGCTAGTTAGGTGGTACGTTCTTAGATGGCACCTACCTCAGCAGCAGATTCCCTAGATGAAAGCAACAAGTAGTTTAAACAAGAATTTATTGTGGTTTTAGAAAGTAGCTGTTTGGGAGATATAATTGTCACTGAAGGATACAGATGTGACAGACATTGTGGGAAACCTCTAATATATTAGAGAATTTGAGGGCACAAGATGGACTCATTTGGATCTGATGGTTATAAAGTCCCTTTTGTGAACTATTTATTAGTTTTGGACCCACTCATAGACTTTAAGGTCAGAAGGGACCATTATGATCATCTAGTCTGACCCCCTGCACAGTGCAGGCCACAGAATCTCACCCACCCCTCCCAGAATAATCCTCTCACCTATATCTCAGATATTGAAGCCTTCAAATACTATGAAGACCCCAAGATGCAGAGAATCCTCTAGCTGTGATCTGTACCCCATGCTACAGAGGAAGGCGAAAAACCTCCAGAGCCTCTGCCAATCTACCCTGGAGGAAAATTCCTTCCCGACCCCAAATATGGCGATCAGCTAAACCCTGAGCATGTGGGCAAGACTCATCAGCCAGACACCCAGAAAGTCCTCTATAGTAACTCCTATCATCCTTCCATTGACCTATTTCCCACTGATAAAGAATGGTCAATTAGATACCAAGATCATGTTATCTCATCAAACCATCCCCTTCATAAACCCATCTAGTTTAATCTTGAAGCCAGATAGATCTTTTGCCCCCACTACTTCCCTTGGAAGGCCGTTCCAGAACTTCACTCCTCTAATGGTTAGAAACCTTCGTCTAATCTCAAATCTAAACTTCCTACTAGCCAGCTTATATCCATTTGTTCTTGTGTCCACATTGGTATTAAACTTAAATAATTCCTCTCCCTCCCTGGTATTTATCCCTCTAATATATTTAAAAAGTGCAATCATGTCCCCCCTCAGCCTTCTTTTGGTTAAAGTAAACAAGCCAAGCTCCTTGAGTCTCCTTTCATAAGACAGGTTTTCCATTCCTCGGATCATCCTAGTGGCCCTTCTTTGTACCTGTTCCAGTTTGAATTCTCCTTCTTAAACATGGGAGACCAGAACTGCACACAGTATTCCAAATGGGGTCTCACCAATGCCTTGTATAATGGCACTAACACCTCCTTATTCCTACTGGAAATACCTCGCCTAATACATCCCAAGATCGTATTAGCCTTTTTCACGGCCATGTCACAATGGCGGCTCATAGTCATTCTATAATCAACCAGGACTCTGAGGTCCTTCTCCTCCTCCGTTACTTCCAATTGATGTGTCCCCAGCTTATAACTAAAATTCTTGTTATTAATCCCTAAATGCATAACCTTACACTTCTCACTATTAAATTTCATCCTATTGCTATCACTCCAATTTACAAGATCATCCAGATCTTCCTGTATGATATCCCGATCCTTTTCTGAATTGGCAATAGCTCCCAACTTTGTGTCATCTGCAAATTTTATTAGGACACTTCCACTTTTGGTGCCAAGATCAGCAATAAAAAGATTAACTAAAATTGGCCCCAAAACTGATCCCTGAGGAACTCTGCTAGTAACCTTCCTCCAACCTGACAGTTCACCTTTCAATATGACCCGCTGTAGTCTCCCCTTTAACCAGTTGCTTATCCACCTCTCAACTTTCATATTAATCCCTATCTTTTCCAATTTAACCAATAATTCCCCATGTGGTACTGTATCAAATGCCTTACTAAAGTCGAGGTAGATTAGATCCACTGCATTTCCTGAAGTCTAATGACGGAAATGAACTTGCAAGAGTCTCTAGCTCACAAGAGACTTTCATGGGCGTCGGAAGATAAAGCAGGGTTTTGGGACTGAGGGTAGAGAGTGGATGACATTTGGCAGAAATTATTGCACAAATATTTTCAGTGATTTCCGTTTTGTCATTAATTTCTGCTTGGGGAATATTTTCAAATGCAAAGGCATAATTAATAAAAAAAATAATCAATTCCAGTCAGTCAGGGGTTCTCAAACTTCAGTGCATTGCATCCTTCTGACAACAAAAATTACTGCACCACCCCAAGAACAGGGAAAACGTGAGCTCACATCCCGTTTCCCCGGGCATGGGTGGCAAAGCCAACGCCCATGAGCTTCAGCTCCAGATGTGGAGGGGGTCTGTAGCCCAAGACCTGCCAGTTGGCCTCAGGCTTTAGCCCCAGGCAGTGTGGCTTGGGCTTCATTTTCAGCAGTTCTAACTCCAGCCACAGCAATCCTATTAAAATAGGATCCTAATTCACAGTTCGAGAACCGCTGCAATAAGTGAAACAATATGTCATGGGGGAAAAACCAAACCCAGCTCACAATGTTTAGGAACTTACCGACTCTTTTCTGCCCATGGTTTTGCTGTGGGAGCGAGAGCGGGAGATGGTACTGAAAAAGGAATCTTTCTTGGATGCAGACAAAGGAGGAGACCCTGTGTATTCACGTCCAGCCGACAAGCTCTCTATGCTTGGCGATGAACTGACATTTTTTGAACTTTGGCCTGTAAAATAAGCACAGAACAACAAAACATTAGATCAGTGGAAGAGTGCTCCATCAACTACTTCCTGTCTTGGGTCTTGCTTACTACAATTCATAAGCAGAATGACACAGAATGAGATTTCGCAAAATTAAAGTGTGCCTGTATGCACTATGACATGGAAAACTACTCTGACATACTGACCTCTGTGTATTTCTAATAAGAGTCATAGAAAAACAACTTCAAGTCTTAATAAGCACATATGATACCTAGGGTAATTTATAGGACACATACATAATATTAGAAGATTGATCTGAAGCATTCAGTCTTACACACAATATGTAGTGGGGATAAAGGGAGGGATAGGGAAATAATTTTTTGTTTAATAAATTCATATATATACACAAGGTTGTGAAGAAAAACTTTTAGGATGTTCTGTTTTCTACTTTTCTTCCATCATTGGGGGTTGTTTTGGGTAACTATAAATCAGGTACTATGACTGAATTGAGAAAGGATGTAAGATATAAATATTTTAAGGCATATTTTAATTGATGCAGTTCAGTTTAATCTTCTTACACCAATCACCAGGGCTTGACAAACAGCGGCGAAAGCCACTCGCCAGCCCTGCACTGCGCATGTGCAAGAGTCGCATGCGCGCACCGCTGGTAAACAGGCGAGTAGATGTTATAGTTTCTAGATTCTAGTTATAGTTTCTAGTAGATTCTATAGATTCTACAGGCCACGGGCAAGTAGATTCTATAGTTTGTCGAACCCTGCCAATCACAGAAGATGGTTCAAATCACCTTGAGAAGCTATACCAAATTCACAGGAATAAGCTCGCACTCTCAAATGCTTTACTTTATAAATGTTACTATCAAACCATTTGATTCGTTATGTCCGGAGAAATCCATGCTAACTTGCGTTAAGCTGATTAGCATAAGGAAGCACAAAAAGAAAGTCAATTCTCCCTTCTGATTCCTTAGCCCCTAAACTGTATTTTCTATCATAGGGATGCAGAGCTAACACATACATATTTTATATTCCGACTATACCTTCCCATATGCCTGTGCAGCATCAGACATACCAGGCAGTGCTGAAGTACATAATTAAAATAAAATAAATTGAATTAACAATGTTATTACAGAAAGCTCCTGGCTCTTCAACTCATAATAAAATATGAAATATAAATATAGGCATGTCACCTGTTACATGTTATCCTTCATTAGGTGCTTAAAATCTGTATGTCTACACTTCTGACAGACACCTGTAGCAGGCCTGTGCCAGCTGACTTAGACTCATGGGGTTTGAATTGGAACGCTGTTTAATTGCAGGGTAGACTTCCAGGCTTAGGCTCTGGTTTCTTGAAAGGTGGGAGGGTGCCAGGGCTTAGGCTCCAGCCTAAGCCCAGAAATCTACCCTGCAATTAAACAGCCTCATAACCCAAGTCCCACACACCCAAATCAGCTGGCATGGGCCAGCACAGGTTTTTAATTGCAGTGTAAAACATACCTTATGCCTTACTCGCCTCATTTCCCCTAATGCATGGTTTATAACGATATACATCAGAATACTGAAAAAGCTCAGAGCACATCCAATGGACTTTATACTCTGCCTCTGAGCCAATCAAAGCTCTCAACAGCTGAGCTGAAGCATGACGACGATAAGGAGTTGTAAGTTCTAAAATGAAATATTTGTTTCTACTGAACATTATGTAGAAAAAATGTTTTTTCCCTCCACTTGGCTATTGTTTGCATGCCAGTATAACATGTGGAGTTACACTTCTGCAAGCTCTATGCAATTTTACTTTAGTGCAGTGGGGGAAATATTTCAAGGTCCCTAGTTCACAAGAGGGAAAAAGTACCCAGGGAGCTAAAACAGCTCCCCTCTCCACTGTTGAGGTGGATTAAGATAAAATATTGTAATGGTTTTAAGAGAAGACGACTACCTATAAATACTGAATGTATATATTTTAGAGTATGTCTGTCTGTGTGTCCGTCTGCAAGTCAGTTTGTCCAAGAATTCTTCCTCAATGGTAAAAGCTAGGGCAACCAAACTGGGTATGCAGCTTCCCCTTCTTCTAACTTAAAACAAAGTCAGGGTTTGGTTGTGCCAGGACAATTGGAAGCCTTGAGAAAAGGACTGTTTCCCGTAAAGATGTAAAGGGAGGGCCTGCTGTTTGGAGGGACACAATATGAGTGTGGGCGGGGGGGAGCGGGGGTAGCAAGCATGCAAGGGAGAGCTGTCCACTGAGGGGCAGTCATTCTACCAAGTAATTCTGGCTAGTAGTGCTAGGGATCCATCATCTTACCTGCCAATACACTAGTAAGTAGCCACTCTGCCCCAAACCCTTCCAC